TTTTTTTTAAAATTTTTCCTGGAGAAGGGAGGAGGTTGAAAAAGGAAAGAGGAGAACCTGCAGAAAAACCCAGCAGGCAATGCTGGTTTGACCATGCAGGCTTTACGACAGCGCTGGTGGTGATGTATAGACTTGTGCAGTAGGAAATGGACTGGAGCCACAACAGAGCATCTGTCAGATGATAACTTGCAGTCATTTGCAATCTGTGCTGGAGGAAGACCAAAGGCCTGAGCCAATGCTTCCAGTTATCCAGGCCTCTCCTCTGGGTCTTAGCTCCATCTTCTTTACAACCCATAGAATGAGACTCTTCTGCTGCTCTACTGCAGCACAGCAGTGACATCCAGGGGCCATTTCATTTGCTGTTGAGATCAGCCTACTGATATCCAAGACCATATGTACCTAAGCCAAAACCCCACTGAAGTCGCTTGGAAAGATCCCCATCAATGTCAACAAGCTTTTGATCCATCTGTTTTACTCCATGTTTTTTAACAGTTAGCAAAAAAAGGGCTTTCGTGCCCAATTACCTTGGTTGCTACCTTTTTGGCTGAGTAATCTAAGAAAAATCTCCCTGAGCCAGCCTTCTGTTCAACACACAAAGTGACTTTGTGTGCAGAGATTCGCCCAGTCCCACCACCTTTCCCCAAAATGATGACCTACAGCAATAGCAGTAGGTCCATCCAAATTCCTGGATTGTAGCAGTAGTGTAGCCTCAAGTTCTGCACCCAAACCCGATCCTATTTCCTCCCCTAAACAAGAGGTCAGAAAACTAACAAGCGAAAGGCAATCAGACATGATCTTGGCCACTTTGATGAGCAGTTGGCACGAAAAACCTGCCAACCTTTAGCCATGTTGGATAGTGGGTGGACAACTGGACTGGGTGGGGGAAACCTGACCTCTGCACAACTGGTTCAGATCTCTCACTTGGATTTAATCCAAATTTCTCAGTTTCCATCTCATTACAACTTTTCTTGGTGTTATTTCCAGCATTTACATCTGTGCTGGTAAACGGGAGTGAAGTCACTTCGTTTTCTTCTCTTGGATATGGTTTTCTCTCTAGAGCAGGTTTTCAATGCCTGAAATCTCTCTGGCAGGAGTCTTTGCTGTTTCCCTAAGATCTTTTTTTGGACATGTGAACATCAGGACTAGACATAACTTTTCAGAAAGGGCCTCACTAATGCTGTTTACAGAGATAATATCACTTCAGCACTCCCACTTCATATTTGCCGGCTGCGCAGCCAAGGATTACTCCAACCTTCTTGGCTAAGACATTGCTGGGAGTTCATACACAAGCAATTGTCTACCAGGACCATTCAATTTGGTTCTGAGTCACTGATTTCCAGGATGCATCCCCCAGTGTCCTAGGTGTGACCCACATCCCTTGCTCCAAAAACATCTGCCTCTTCCTGTGGCCACATTGAAATGAGTTGTTTCGGGTTTCCCACTTCAGCCATCAGCATCTACCTGCACAACCAGCCTGTGCCCGTGGCTATTTGCCACCAATCTTGTTTTCATGCTGCCTGCAAATTTTACCAGCTCTCTGGGTTGTTTTGTTGTTTTTTGGGGGTTTTTTGTGTTGTTTTTTTTTTTCCATTCACAACTAAGGGGTTGCTGCTCTGTGGTTATCGGATCATTCTCCAGATATTTGCTCCTTGCAGTTTTCTTCCTCCCACTTTCTCTTGGCTTACATTTCCCCTCCCATGCTTTTAGTCCTCTTTGCTAACATCAGTTGGGTCTGCTTTTATTTTCTGAAGGTGGTTTGCTTGGCTCAAGTCACTGGACACGATGGCAGATGTTTGGGTTCAAGGGGAGGTGTAATGAAAGAGGATCACACTGAGAACATGCCCTCTCTGTCTCTGCTCTGCACAGACCAGATGTGCACTGTGTGGCCCAACATGACAGTCATCCTGCATTGAAATTGAGAATATGAAAATATTCATCAGGGAAGCAGAAGTGCATAAAGCTACCAGAGGTGGCTCTCCAAAAATCTCTTATTCTCAGCAAAAAAGAGGTTTCCCATGGTCCAGTAACTGTTTTGATAACCCTTTCCCTGTTGTACCAGAATACTAATAAATAGGTAGCAAAAGAAATATTTTGCTACAGGCTTAACTAAAGCAAGGCAAGCACTTTCTCCATTGTCATTTTTCTCCCCTTTTTTTGGGGGGCTTCCCCAGGTTGGACAGGGCAGGCTGGAGAGCTGGACTGAGGGCTCACAGGAAAGAAATTAAAGAACAAGTGGAGATTTTGCATTTGTATCCTTAATTCCTGGTTGGAGTGTATTAGGCATCGAGAGAAAGAACTGGTGGAGGGGGAAGGAATTAAATTATCTCTGTAAAGAATGGGTGGTATGTGCCCAGCTTAAATGGAAACCGGTAGCAAGAAGCCTCTCACTGGAGCCACAATAAATGCATGACCAGAGGCCTGGGATTAGGACTTTCTTATGCAAAAGTTATTTGTATCCCTTAATTTCAGCCATTTAGAGAGCTTCCTCTACAGAGGATAGAATCATGGAATCATAGAATGATTTGGGTTGGAAAAGACCTTAAAGATCATCTCATTTCAATGCCCTGCCGTGGGCTGGGACACCTTCCACTAGTCCAGGTTGCTCCAAGCCCCGTCCAACCTGGCCCTGGACACTTCCAGGGATGGGGCAGCCACAGCTTCTCTGGGAAATATGTGCCAGGGCCTCACCACTCTTACAGTAATGAATTTCTTCCTAATGTCTAATATAAACCTGCCTTTTTTCAGCTTAAGGCCATTCCCCCTTGTCCCCTAACTACATGTCCTTGTGAGCAGTCCCTCTCCAGCCCTCTTGCAAGCCTCCTTTAGGCACTGGAAGGGGCGCTAAGGTCTCCCTGGAGCCTTCTCTTCTCCAGGCTGAACAACCCCAACTTTCTCAGCCTGCCTAGTATAGAAGTTCATAGTCTTTTAATGGTTGTAAAACGCTAATGACCGTGCACATGGCACTTTTCCCCACTTTGCAGTTGCAGAGCTGAGGCAGGGCAGGTTCAGCCCCACATCCCACAGACAGCCGATGGCAAGGAGAGGGATGATCAGAAGCTGGTGCTGTCGCTGCTGCCCCATCCTCCCTCCTTCCCTGCCTGACCCTGCAGCAGTGCGTGGCAGGGGACTCGCTGTCACTGGGGTGAGGTGCTGCGGATCATCTCTTGGCTGCGGACCGAACCAAACATTTCAGAGGACTATTCTTCTATTTAAAAGCAGATCTTCTTTGGATCTCTTATGCAAAGCGTAAAAAGCCTTTCAAAATAGCCAGCATGATTATTCATGACTCCTCATTTGCAGCAGTGCTTGTTTTCCATGGCAGCGCCGATGAGCTCACCTGAATAAAGATTTACGGGGGAGAATTGATGGCTGAAGGTTTTTGCACAAGCAAAGGTGTGGGCTGGCATGGTCCCCTCTGCATTGGGAACTTGCTGGACTCTGCTAGATCGGAGACCCCATCCCCATCCTGGCACTGGTCTGGCCCCTGTGGTGCCCTCACACGGCTGTGCTGCGGCTCTGGCACAGGGAACTCATCCCCGCTTGCTTTATTTACAAGTATCTCATAGAGGAAGGGTTTGGGGGCACGCTGGGTTTCCCAAGGAAGCTCTTGATGGATGGGCACGCCTGATGGAGAGTGACGATTCCTGCCGAAAGGACCCAAAGTGATGTGCCCGAGGCTGCGCGAGGAGGATGTGGCGGTGCTGGGGAGGGAGCCCAGGTCACTGAGATCCCAGCCTAGCTCAGGATGATTTCCCAGCAGGCAGCATATTCTTTCCCCTCCCGCTTACCCCTGCCCTCCATGCACTCCGACCAGCAGGCTGCAGGGACTGGAATTTCCCGACTCCCGAGACCTCGGCTGTGCTGCCGTAACACCCGCTGGAGTGTCCTTTGCTTCCCGCTCCCTGCACCCCTCCCCGATTTTGTTTGTCTGTGGTTTTTGCACAGGGAAAAAAAAAAACCGAAGTAAGCGGAGGTTTCCGGGAGACCCTGCCCCGCGCCGTCCATCAGAGAGCAGACAATAACATCGGGCCGCTTTGATCACTTCATGGTTACAGCAGATTTAGATGGCGAGCTGCAGATTCCAGCAGCAGCTGCGAGCAATGTGGCGCAGCCCAAAAAACACAGGCAGGGTCTGTCAGCGCAGCCCGGTGCCGGCTGGGCTGTCTGCTGCGTGATGTAACCCCTCCTTTAATTTGTTTTCCAGAAAATTCATTTCGAGAAGTGCTCTGCGAGTGGCTTGGCAGCGGCGGGAGGAAACGGGCTGGGGAGGACGTCAGCTGTCAGCCCGCAGCCCCCGCTGCCAAGCCCCGGCCAGCGGGACGGCGCGGGGGCTCGCAGGGCTGCTTTCCCTGCCCGGGAAGAGCCTTTGGGTCGGGTCCACGCCGAGTTACTCCCGGTCAGCCGGGGCGGCGAGTTCCAGCACAGGGACCGTGTTTATTTGTGTGCTCCGCAGTGCCCGGCACAGAGCAGCTGCACCTGTGGATGCGGCAGTAAAACCGGTGATAAATAACGACCCAAGAAGGAGACAGTGCAATTTAATCTGTATAAGTGAATACAATTAACTGGGGAAGGATGCTCAGGCTGGCTGAGGACATCTTTCCTTTCTTTCCTTTCTTTCCTTTCTTTCCTTTCTTTCCTTTCTTTCCTTTCTTTCCTTTCTTTCCTTTCTTTCCTTTCTTTCCTTTCTTTCCCTTTCCTCTGTGGGTCTGGGGATGCACATCCAGGCTAAAGACTCACAGAATTTAGAGGGTACAGTGCAGAGAGCTCTGCCTGCTCTGTTTTGTGCAACTTGACTCTTTATGTGTAGGAGATGGAGGGAACGTGGCTGAGAGAGGGAAGCACAAGGGAGAGAGAGGGAAGCACAGCTGCAAGTTGGAAGAGGGACTAACTGGCAAGTGACCTCCATGTCTTTGTCCTCCCTCCCTCCTTCCCTTCCTTCCTTCCCTTTCTTTCTTCCCTCCCTCCCCTCCTTCCTTCCTCCCTCCCTCCCTCCCTCTCTTCTTCTCTTTCCTCCTTCTCTCCCTCTCTCTTCACTCCTGTTTATCAACACAGAAGATCCCATTGACTTGCTCTGAGGTTCAAAGCCCTGTTACATCATCTCCTCCTTCTCTTGGAGGTCAAGGGAAGGTGGGTTGGTCTTTCCCATGGACTCAGAGCTGCAAGGGACCCACAAGACCATCACTCCCATCTGTGGCTTCAAGCAGAACCTCACCAGGTCCAGCCCAAACAGATGTTGCTGTAGAAGTAGCAACATCTAGGGCTTGGTCTAGGAGATCTCCACAACCTCCTGGGAATGTGTCCCTGTGCCTGCTCACCCTGCTTCAGCAGGAAGCTTTGCCTGATATGTTGTCCAGATCTCTCTTGGTGCAATGTACCTTGTCCCTTACTTGTCCTGCCCCTCAGGGACATGGACTGTCCCTCGGTGCCCTCAGCAGCCTTTCAGATGCAGACCTTGGCCTGTGTGCTGTGCCCCAAACAGGATGGGGAAGTAATTTCTACATTTTCTGCTAGTGAAAGTGTGAAAGAGTCTAATTATTTACGGAAAAGGAGGTTTATGCATCCTTTCCTTCCTTCTGCCACCCAGAAGTCTCACTAGGACCATCAGGGGAGACAACTACTCTGAGTAAGACCACTGGAAATCAGCTCTCTAACTTCTTCCATGACTGCTGACCCTAAGGCCAAAAGAATGGGCTCAGGTAATGATCTTGCTGTCTTCAATGGGATTTACTTAATATATGCCTAAATGCTTTGCTGGAGGAGGTGGGAGGCACCTGCAGTGGGACACTGCAAGATGGGATGGGAGAGCAGCTGATGACTTTCCTGGTCTTTTGGAGCATGAGAATTGCTGAGCATTTTGGCTTGGCACTGCAGGGCTAGCAGAAGGACACTGCAAACTTCCCACTACCTTCCTGCAGGTCACCTACTCCATAACTCACTGGAGTCATTTCTCCCTGCAGAGAAGGACAAGCTGAAGAATGTCGTTGGCCAGATTGTATTATTTTTTTTTTTTCCTTTTGGAAAAATAACGGCATAGCATTTCCCCTGCCTTGTCCTCTCCCGTGCTGTACTGGTAGCTGCACTGAAGCTGATTGATTAGTTTAATAACAGGCAGTTGATATGCAGCCATAAAATTATGCACTTTTACTCATCAGCCTGATTGAACTCCTCTGCTGACTGTACAGGAGCAGAATGGCAGAGTTAAAATAATGAGGGAAACAGCCAAGGGAAAAGCAAGTGTGGTGGTGTTATTGTTTTAAAGCTGAGGAAGAAAATGAGTCCAGGGAGGAGCTTTTCCAAAATAAACACCAAAATACAGAGGGAAAATGTTAAGATGTAATTAGCACTGGTACAAGTGCCATTAAACGTCTACAGGGGTTGGAGGCGTCAGCAGAGCTGCTTTTACACCCACGTGGTCTATGCTGGGGTTTCAGGAGATTGGGGCTGACTCTGCTGAACACCCCCAGTCCCCACCTCCTCAGAAAGGGCCCTTTGCAGGGTGAATCAACTCAGTGGGGAAAAGATGGGAATTCAGTTTGTTGTTCTGTTTGGTTTTTTGTTTTTGTTTTTTTTTTTCCTGATTCTGGCCAAGGAGGGAAGGCTATAAGGATGGAGCTGGAGAAAAACGTGACTGGGAAGGGTTTGTCCCCTCTGCCCCTATGCTAATGGCATCAGTGGAACGGAGATGGTGTGATGGGGGTGTGGGAAGTACCAGAGCACTTCCAGCTTGGCCTGGAGAGAACGGGGCTCCTCTCAGTGATGTCCCTGTGGCCCTGAGCTCTGCTCTCCATGTTTCTGGGCACCAGGGAGCTGAAGTCAGACTCTGACCTGTGGGGTGTCAATCATGCTCTGCAAAGCCACCAGAGGGAATTGAAGGTTCCCACTCAGCCGTGAATCAAAATGCAGGAGCAGGCAGTGGGGCTCGCTGATGAAGAGCCACACAGCCCCCATCCATGCATGGAGAATGGCATTTAAGACTTTATATCCCAATAAAATATTTCCCAGCGCTCCAGGCAGGGCTTGCGGGGTTGACAGGCTCACTGTTTGTCCTGCACACATTCATTTTATTTATAAGACCAATTTGTCTGTGAATAGGTCAGCCTTGTGCCTGTGAAATGTTTTAATTGAACCTCATCACGTGCTGTGTCCTCGGCACAGCCATCACACAGCCTTGACCCTGGGTCCAGCCTCCCCCCAGAATACAAAACTGTTCAGATTTTCCCCTTGGGGCACATCTCCCTGAGGGAGGGGATGGGAACAGGGGAGGGAACAAGTGGTTCTTGGCATTTATTTTCTCCCAGAGAAATGCTTGGCAGAGGGTTGCACAACGCCCCTCGCCCTTCTCCCTGATTGCACCCCATCCAGGTTGTTCCTGGCAGCAAGGCTCTTCCTTATTTGCACCAAAGGGCTTTGGGTCAGGCCATGTGTGGGTTGCAAGATGCTGTTGGAGGTGACACACAGCTGGACTGACATATCCAAAGGTGCTGCTTCTCCAGCTACTCCCCTGTTTATTATGTGTCTATTATGTTTATTATGGGTGCCCTCGCCTGTGGTTCTTGGGTGGGCTTTCCTCCTGGGCTCCTCTTCTGCCATGTTCTGTTTCCCATCTCCCTCTGGACAGGAGCTGTTGGGTTGTGTTATCTTGTCCAGATTATCTCTCTGGGAGCCACAGGTCAGGAAGCTCCTCCACAGCTCCTGGCACCCTGGTGTTGACTGGGTCACCCTGTTGGGCTGAGACAAGTGTCCCCTGAGGCCAGAGGGGGATGTACTTTGTAGAGTAGGAGCAGGATCCCTGATGTCACCTCCAACAGACCTCAGTGCCTATGTGTGGGGCCCTGGATACTGCCAAGATCCCCACTGACCATCATGGGAAGGAGCTTACATAGACCCCTTTGGATTCTGCAGAGCCAGGACTCAGTTTCTGTCCTTGTGCAGGATGGACTCAGCCTGTGTCACTCCTGATGGACATTTCTCCTCCTTATCCTTCAAAATCTCTAGTGATGGAGATCCACCATCTTCCCTTTGCTCACTCTGATGTTTCATTGCCCTCAGTGAGAGGTGGGGGTACAGCTACTTCTGGTATCACTTTAGGCACCCTGTTTTCTGTGATTCCATGAGATTCCTGTGAAACCACAGCTTAAGTGACCTCCCAGAAAGAGCACAGTTAAGATTTCAAGAGCTGGAGACATGGTGAACTTCATGTCCCTCAGGGCAATGTCCATAATCATCCGTCTGCTCCTGGCAGGGGTTCAGCAACAGCACATCTCTCCTGGGTGGTTTTGCAGGGTACTATGGAGCTAATCCAGAGTCTTTTGATGTACAGCACAGGGAAGGATCAGGCATTGTGAAGAACATCCTCACACAAGCCCAAGAACCAGGAGTGAGGTGCTGGGTTGACAAGTTTGGAGCTCCAAGCCCTGAACTCTGTTTTCTCTCTCCACCGTTGTGGGTCTGTTCCCTTCCTGGCAGCCTGTCCTCTTCCTTGGACTCAGCAAAGGAACATGTGGAGTCTGCACTTGAATCCAGAGCACTGCAGGTGCTAAAGCAATACCTTGCTTCACTGCTAAGAAGCAGATCTGCATGTGGCTTCTTGTCCTCTGGGTTGGAGTGTGTCCTCCGGCCTGGAGTGGAAAAGATAAACACACTGTGGTGTAGCAAAAACTTTGCTTTTATTAGTCTTCCTCTAAAGTAAAAACAGGCCCTGCAAATCACAAACAAATTGTCTTTCTGCAAGAGCAAATCTTGGTAAAAGCTATCTGGGTTTCTTTATGCAACGGAGTTGGAAAACTAAATTTAACTGCTCCTTGAGGCTTCCCTCCCCTTTCTTTTGTTTTCTGGCAAAAGCCCCATTACCAGGATGGAAAGCTTCAGTATTGAAATTTGCCATTGAAGTTTTAAAAAACAACCACCATCAACATTTCCAAATACTTTGGAGAGAAAAAGCAAAAGTAAAACCTACCAAAGCTCTTTTCCCCTCTCCTTACTTTGAGCAGGTGCAAAGAAGAGCCCTTTCCAAGGTAAAGCTTGGCACAGGAAGAAAGCCTAAGAGGAGGGAAAGGAAGGTGACGTGGACAAAGGCTGCAAGAACAAACAATATTCTGACTCAAAGGATGTTGCAAACACATTGTATATACTCGGAAATATTTTAAAACCATTTTTAAACCAAAGCAGAAGCTGAGGAGGAGTTGGCCCATGGCAGGAGGAGAAAGACTTGAATTAGGAGTCCAGGGAGAGTGAACAATCCTCAGCCCTGAGAGGGAGCTTGAGGGCAGCATGAAGAGGGCGGGAGCAGAGGCAGTGAGGATGGGGAAGCCACCAAACTGAGCAGGCTGGTGTGGGATGTGGCAAATCGCTAATACAAGAGGGGTGATGATACAGTCCTTTCTTGGACTGAAAGGTGTCAGGGCCAGAATCTGCCTGTACAGCTCTAGCTACAGCTTGAAATAGAAGATTCAAATGGTTAATAAAGGGAATATTTATGCAGTGGTTCTTGCCAGCTGAGAGGGGAAGCCTAACAACGAGTGCCTAGTTATTCCTGATTCCTGCTATTGGCAGAAGATTTGGCTTGGTGACCTCCTGAGGTCCCTTCCAACCTCATTTATTCCTGGTCCTATGAGCACAAGTCAATGAGCTCACCAGGTTCCTCATACATATTGCATTAAGGATGAAGAGAATGTGGCAGGTGAAGAACAGAATGAATTCAGTCCATCCTGAATATCTTTCTCCAGACTTGAATATCATAGAACCACTTAGGTCAGAAAGGACCATCGAGTCCAGCCATTAACCCATCACTGCCAAGTCTACCATTAAACTGTGTCCCCATATATTAAATGTGTCCCCATTAAACTGTGTGCCCAAGTGCCACATATTCATGTCTTTTAAATATCTTCAGGGATGGTGACTCCACCACTTCCCTGGGCAGCCTGTTCCAGGGCTTGAAAACCCTTTCTGTGAAGCAATAGTTCCTAATATCCAATCTAAACCTCCTCTGGAACTGCTTGAGCCTATTTCCTCTGGTCCTATTTCTTGTTATCTGGGAGAAGAGACTGACCCCCACCTGGCTACAATCTCCTTTCAGGGAGTTGTAGAAAGTGATAAGGTCTCCTCTGAGCTTCCTTTTCTCCAGGCTGAGCCTCCCCAGCTCCCTCAGCTGCTCCTCATCTGACCTGTGCTCCAGACCCTTTCCCAGCTCCGTTTCCTTTCTCTGGACATGCTTCAGCTCAGCACACATATAACCTGAGGATGCTACAGCAGGATCTGGGTCCTTTAAAGAGCTGGCTTTTTACAGGCTTTTCCAGCAGAATCTGGCTTTATTCTGGGGATGTCCCAGATCACCTCCATGGATTCTCCTTCCTTCCTCTCTCTGGAGAGTTACAATTGCTTGAGAAACGGGGACTTTAAACACAGCTGAGACAGAGGCAGGTGCACAAGAGATCTGAGCCCTGCTGCATCGCTCTCAAGCTCTTTGTCATTTTATTTTTCTCTGCTGCCCACCCCTTCTCAGCCCCTTCCCAGAGCTGCCTCTGTCCCTCCTTGCTGTAACACAAACTCTGACTGCCACCAAACTGGAGCTGGCAGACACTTCCCTCCGTGCTGCAAGGTCAGCCCTCCCTGCTGCTGTCCTGCTCCTCCATCCATGGCTCATGGCCAGGACCGTGGAGCCAGAGCCCTCACAGCCCTGAGCTTGCACCTGGGAGAGAGAGAGAAGAAAGAAGAGGACTGGGGAGGAGGAAAGTAAAGAGAAGAAAAAGGGGAAGGGAGGGGAGGGGATGGGAGGGGAGAGGGGAAAGGAGAGGGAAAAGGAAAGGAGAGGAGAGGGAAACTGAAAGGAAGGGAAGGGAAGGGAAGGGAAGGGAAGGGAAGGGAAGGGAAGGGAAGGGAAAAGGAGAGGGAAACGGGAAGGGAAGGGAAGGGAAAAGGAGAGGGAAACGGGAAGGGAAGGGAAGGGAAAAGGAGAGGGAAACGGGAAGGGAA